ATTATTATTATTATTATTCAGCCAGTCATTTGGATAATCTTGTTTATTATGTTGCTTTTGTGTAATTAAGATTTTTTTCTTCATTCTGTACTTTTGTTATCTTTACAATATTATAATGTTCCTATCTTACATAAATAAATTTTACTTACCAACTTTGAGGGAATAGAACTGAACTGTAGTAACAATCTGTTTACCACTGAGGTAGCTTAGTCTGGTTTACACATTGGAGGCAGATGCTGTGCAGGTAAGCTATGCTAACTGTTTAGCTTTAGCTGTTGCGTTTATAAACCGAGTCTTCTTGGCTACACAGGCATGGCCGATGACAAACCTTGTCTTTGCTGTCCGCCACCTAGATAATGGCTCTCGCCAGACTTGCATGCAACACCGGCCTCACCATTTATGTTTATCAATCTGACTATATCGGCCACCAAGTATAAATTTTTACTTTGTTGATTTCGTGTGCTAGGGTGAGGAAGGCGAAATAGAAAAATTCTCACAGTTTGCCTGCCACAGTTTTTCAAATCCATTCCGTTCAGTTTTATTTATATGGCAAAAAACTTCAAAATAATAGTCACTACAATGAGCTTTGTATTGTAAGGACCTTACAATGACAGAGAGGAAACCTCAATCAGACAACGCCGATGAGCTAGCACTTGGCAACAGTGGGAAGGAAAAACTCCCTTTCAATAGGAAGGAACCTCTGGCAGATTGGTGTGTAGATTTGTTGTAGAGATAAAATTACAAGTCGTATGTTGTTCAAACACACATGGACCTAAGAGGAAAAGCTTTGTGTTTTGCATGTACCTGATGGTTCTTGTCCCATTTGCTATGCAGATAAAACAACTTGTTCTGTACATCGTAACCAAATTATTTGGGTATGAAAATAATGACTCTTCTTTCACAAAACATTTCTGTGTTGAAAAAATTTTTATCATAGTCTTTAGACCAGTTGTGTCAGTTTGACCTCTTGCGGACATGATGTGACAGTCTTGTTTTTACATCTACAAAAAGCCAAGAAGAAAAAAGTGAGTTTTAAGGGAATATTTAATACCATTTGAAATACCTTTTACATGAAAGACACCATCAGAGGAGGGGAGAGCTGCAAGAGTGCACAATGTAAAACCGGTGATGTGGCACACCCTAATGACAAACAGCTGTCTTAAAAAAGGATGTGGAACATATCAGAGTCCTGCCACACCTCCTGGATAAATTCACTGCTTTAAGTGTAATGACATCCAGTCTAATCAAAGCAAAGAAAAGCACAAGGATGAAAACAGGTGCACAACTCAATAAAAAGTCCAATGGTGAGATCAGGGAAGCAAATATACACCAAGGTTAAATGAGTTGGAGAATATTACAGTTTTGTTTCTCCAGTAATTAGTAACTTAACTTTTGTTTTTTATTAGACCTTTTATTTTGAAGTTGTTAGAGTCTGATGGATATAAGAAACTTCCTTGAAGCAGCTCTTCAAAAGCAAGTCACACACAAAGGTACAAATGTCGATGATAGGGCCTGCTTTCTGCACACTGTCAACTATTGACAACAGCACGTGAACATCTAACGAAAGTAAGCTGTTCGTGCATCAGTTCACACACTGAAACAGTACGATTGACTCCAACACCAGCAAAAACGTGATTGGACTTTATACCCTCTGAAGTGTTTTGGATTGTCTGATAAATTACCACAAACACAAATAAATTAAAATTTTAGTTTTAAGGGATAACAGACACAAATTCACAACCTGATAAAGAATGATTCAGCCACAGGTAATAATAATAATAATATAGTTCCTTTAAATGAACAGTCAAAGTAGAAAACAGCTATGTCATGTACAAAAACTATAATACATAAGTCGTGATGTAAATATTGATTGTAAACTGCTACTACAGCTAAAAGAAAACCAAACTCAACGGCAAAATCATGTGCCGTCCTTTCTGTCTGTCCAGTATTGATTGGGATTCCTATTGATCAGTGTAAATATTTAAATGACGATGTTCTGGACACGTAAAATGCAATTTAAAAACTTACAGTTTCAATTATCTTATTCCCAGATATACAGGCAGAGTGACGGAGTGCAGTTTCCCACATTTACTCTTTTGGATTAATTACATTGCATTTATATGTAGTGCTAACTATTCAATATCAAAGTTTAAATATCTACTGCATTTTTATGTTTTAGGCCACTTTAAGCCTCTTTAATAAGTCAGTTTCCATTATCTGAGTTATCTATAATCAGTGCGACCAGTTTACAATGCAGCTGAAGGCACCACTGACACAACCATGGGACCCATAAGGCTTATTTATTTTCATGTCCTAATTAAAAGTGATTCTCACAGAGTGAGACATTTTGAGTATCTGGTTACATAACTGGCTCTGACTTAGACAGTTATAACTGCTAAATGTAATATACATGTCTAGGATGAATGTACAACATGAGGACTAAATATTGCAAGAAAAGAAAGCATCTCTGGAGTTATGTGAGGAAAGTAAATGGATGTCGTGAAACAGGCTGAAAATGTACTGAATGGAAAGTTTAGGAGAGGATGCAGCCTGTGTCCTTCTGAGGCTTCAAGTCAGGTTCCTTCACTGGCTTCACCTCCTCCTCCTTGGGTTTGGCCTGCACATCAAGTAATATTTATAATACCACCAACAACTATAACATTGTTATGAAATAATCTAGAATAAATAACTGATTTGGTGTGTACCTTGTCGTTTTTGGCTCCCTTTGTCAGATCGAAGGTGGCGTAGACCTCAGGAGTGCACTGCTCACTGAGAGGTGGCAGCTCAAATGGGACGGGCTCAGCCAGGCCGTAGCTCGCCTTCATGTCCAGCTGCGGCGGCTCAGCCGGGACTTTATGGAAGTATCTGTCCAAAGAAACAAGTAGAAGGAAGAATTTCAGGTTTTCATGTTTGAATGCTTTCCCTGTTGTTACAAAGACCCTTTCTAAGGGTAACTTAAATATGTACAAGACTTAACCGTGCAAATGGGAATCCTCTGTTGTGGTTCTCACTTAATCATTGTCAGCTGGGTCTTTAAATGGTTTGTGATCAACTTAACTCACAACTCAAAAGTTTTTTGCAAAACTGCCAGATGTTATTGTCACACTGTTATCAGCCTGTGTCAGTTAAGGGTCATAGTCTGTGAAGGTTCTCAGTCATCCAAGGTCATCGTAGTCAAAGGAGCTTGCAAAGCTTCTTTAAGTTGCTTGAAGACGTTTCACCTCTC